AAAGAGCCGAGCTCCAGATAAGGTGCAATTGCGTCGCGCTTAAGTCGCTCTTGTGTATTCTCGGATCAGCGCGCGTTTACTTTGCGCGTTACAACGTAAGCTCCTCCCGAGAGATCGTTTCCCTCGCCTGTGTGAGACTCAGGGTGAAACGGCGAAGGATCATGTAACAGAGAGAGAGAGAAAGAGAGAGAGAGAGCTGGCCGATATCAGCCGCTCGCAATACGCGAGTTTTGCTCAACGGGAATGAAATGCAAGGAAGTACGCGATATTCGCATCGCGTTTGAACATCTTGGTTCGCGCGCATGAAGAGTCAGCTCCTCGGATTATTTCCGCTCTTGTGCGCGCGATGTGGAGTTCCATTGGGTTAACGAATTCCTCAGACGCCGCAGTTCGTGGCTTGCACGAACTACACGCCACAAATTTTTGTGCGACAAAAGTGAATGAAGAAGTCGAATGTGACGTCACATTTCCGCGTATTAGTGGGAGTGAGATGCGCGCTGCGCTATCGATTAAATTAAGCCGGAATTTTGGAGTGAAAATTGGCGAAACGAGTGTCCGTTGTCTGCAACGAAAGGAAAGATATCCTTATGAGAGGACGGAATATTTCCTCTCCGCGCATAGTAAATCAAATGCTAAACATTCTAATTATACGAACCAAGAATATATTAGGCAAATAACCGAGTATTAGCACGTTTCTCATCCGCGAGGATCGTCGACGGGCGCACACCGTCGCGCAGTGTCCTCTCTCGCCGCGTTTTCTCGAATTTCTCGGAAGAAAAATTTCACCGCTTCGCTCGTCATATCTGCGTCAATTTACCTACTAACGCCGTTTCACGGAAGCTAATTAGAAGTGGATGATAAACAACTAACGGGCAGAGCGTGTCTCCAAGATTATCACGTATATTTGCAGGTCGATATACATAGGTGTGTGATGAATTAATTATATTAATTAACTGGGATCACACGTGCTTCAGCTCAAAAATAGCGCTATTTAATTCAGTCGCACACTGGCGCGCGTAAATTGATCGCGACGTTTTTCGCAGACATTGTTTGAAGACCGCGTAAAATAGTCGACGACTGAACCGTCAATACGCGTCGTCAAATCGCCCGATAACGACTGTAATCGTTAACGTCCGTCACAGTGCGTTATTTATATTCACGAGAACGCGATATTGTAGTCGAGACTCGGTCGAAATGCGATCCAGGGAGTCCACTGGTAAAGTTGCGAACGCCGTTAAACGGCGTTACTTCCTCTACGCGAACGTCACCACGGTTTGTAATGTTGCGCACAAGATACATCGAGTTTCGCATCGGTTTTACAACCGCGAAGTGATATCTGACTCCTTGGTCAGCAATGATGGCGCAATCGAGGCAAATATTCTTGAAGTCTTGTTTCTGTCTTGTTTGCTGTTCCGCAAAAAAACAGAAATTAATAAATGCTACAGTTAATTAATCGTTGTTTGTTAAGTAGTCAAGGTCCACTCGGAAAGCGCGGAAATAAACCGCGCTACTGACACGTGTCGCGCGTTAATCGCTCAAAGTGAGGCAATACGAAGCTAATAATAAGCGAAAAAAAAACGTTTAACTGCGCTGCGTCAAGATCACATACAAATCATTCAACTAATCATTCGCATAACTATCGTTCGCTTTTTCCGCGTGTACGCTCTTCTGACAAGCATTCTCCTCTTCGCGCAAAAAAAGCCGCAAGAGCTGAAATATAAATTTATATTTCGCAGCAAAAATGCATTGTAACAACTAGATTTGCATTGTGTAACCTACACTGAGAGAAAAAAATAGTTGGAATAACTATAATCCCACTATATTTTATAGTTCGTTTTGGCTTCAAACATATATTTATAATTCATCTAAACATAAAGATATAGCAGAATTAAAACAGATTTATAGTCATCATCTTATTACTCTATGTATATAGTAAAGCACGCTTTGGGAATATAGTTACCTATATTTTCCAAATATCCCAATTGTATTGACTATATAAAATAGTTAATTTCTCTTAAATATTTACCATTAAATATTTGCTACCTTACTATATTTTTTATTTTTTATTTCAAATGATTATAATTCTTGGTAAAAGTTTTACATGGGTCAGTTATACTATTCTTATATTGTAAATTACAAATTACAATACAAGCATATACAAGTATTACAAATATTATGCTGAAATTTACTATAAAAATAATATTCCTAACTATAATCTTTTTACTATGCCATTATAGTTCTAAGTATCATACATTTTTCCCTCAATGTAGATTAGCAGTCGAGTGACCGCCAAATGATTAGTCCAGCCAAGTTCGAATCAGCCACTGAGATTTAGCTGATATTACTGAGTCATTTCTTCGCGTGTTTCGTGTGGCCAACGCGCGAAAGCGGACCGTGCGAGGCGGCGGGAGAGGTGAAATGCAGTCGTCGGGCTGAAGGTGCGCCCACTCGTACGTCATCCGGATGACGTACAAGTGCGACGTATGTGCAGCTCACTGCACGTAGGTATGATGGACGAGTAGAGTGACGTAACGGTGGATCACGTCGAGGGGTTAAGCATGGCGTGGTATGGCATGGCATGGTGTGGTATGGCGTGGCGTGGCATGGCGTGACGCGTCGACGGGACGTCCCTTTAACGTCCCCTTTTGTCCATTCGCGACGGGCGTCAAATAAATCCGGGCTTCGTGACTCTCTCGGCCGTAATTAAGCCTCCGAGTTGGAAGTCGGCGGTGGTGACGGCGACTGGCGAGTCGAAAGGTGCGCGCTTCCTCCCTTGGTGAATGACACCATGCATCATGACAGGCAGACGTCTTTATTGTTGCTGGAGTCGTTACCGGCTAGCCCGACTCTTGGCTAAGGAGTTACGTAATCGCAACAGGTGTCCATCTCTCTCTCTCTCTTTCTTTCTTTCTGTCTGTCTCTCTCCCTCTCTCTCTCTCTCTCTCTCTCTCTCTCTCTCTCTCTCTCTTTCCCCGCTCGCTCTGTCTCGCACGGCCACGTGTTCCAACTTCGCACCCGTATAGATCGTTCTGCGGCGATTTAACGGCGCGATCCTGCTTGGCGTCGCCGTGCGATTCGCGATCAGGAACCTCCCTCGCGAAGCAGCGCGTATTCGTACAGATGTTTTCTTATCGGTGAATGTTATTGTCGCGGCACATGTTGGAATTCATAGATAGTGCCGCATATATTTTTCTGGTCGAAGTAATTCTTATCGAAAATAGGTCACACGTTTGTGGACACGCTTACCAGCTTGCGCGTAAAGTCTAGATTTTCATCTTGTAAAGACGACGCGATGCGTCGATGCTAATTACTACGTGCGTTAATAAACATGTTAACTCAGCTCGAGTTAATATGTGATGTTCACTCTAGCTTCATAATACACCGCGCATTATTGCGCGACGCCGCTCTGTCGAGCGCTCTTTTTTTACACATTAGCAGCAATTACATACAAATGTATGGAATCTACATGCAAGTGTTGTTACATCGCGCGGAGCGCGCACACCGCGCAGAATTTTATTATTCTTCTCTTTCTTTATTCTGTATTCTTTATGTTAACATTCAATTTGCATTCCTGCAAATTCATCGCGAACGGATGAGAGAAAGGTTCTCGGTGAATTGTACAAGTTTTTTTTTTTTTTTATTCTCCCCGGCGCGTCCCAATACAATAAGAATTGATATGTGCGCGGACATACGTGTGCGATAGAAATTAGCGGTGTCAGCTTCACACTTGCATGAAGATCCTCCCCTTCTCCACCTTCCCTTCCCGTCATCGGCAAGACACGATTATCGTGAGCTCCGACTGCGAGACCACGTCGGCCAAGAAAATAAATCCGACTGATTTACGAGACAACGGAAGGGAAGTTGCAGTCGTTTCGCGCGCGCGCGCGTGATCACGGCGCGCTCGCACCGTCATCGTTATGTTCGTCTATCGCAACAATGATGTCACGGACGTCAAGTTCCTCCGGGATTCGCGATATCCGGTATATAAATTTGCGCGGAGAATTGTCCCTCGACGCGATGAGCTCGCACGCCCATTCGGGGAACAATGCGAGGCGCTCGCATAAAAGTGGCCCCGGCTCGTAGAAGGGAGAGAAGAAAAGATACACATGTAAATCAGTTTAACGTACGTGGCCCGCGCGCGGTAATATTATTTTAAAGGTATCGGGGGTTATTATTAGCTGCGAGGCGCAGATGGCATGCACGATGATTCATGCAAATAAGCGTGGCCTCGCGATAAATGCACTCAAGCAGGAAGATATGCATTATTGTCACAACTGCAATTTCAACGGCGCTCGCGATTGTAACCACGGAAATTGCAGCGCTCTCGTTGCACGCCGTTTCGGTATAAGATCGCTACGAGGTCATATCCGACCGCGCGCGGTAGTATCGATGGCACCGAATCGATCGCCGTCGAGCAACGAATCGATCGTTCCGCGTCACGTCGGACTTGCTCTCTAATTCTAATGAACGAGCAATTAAAAGTTTCTTCCGTTACAACGTCACTTTGTCCCCTGGAATTCAATTCCGCGAGAGATCGAACATTCACCTGCTTTCAAGCAGGAACTCCACCGACGATTAAATAACAATATCTTTCAACCAATCCCTCAGGCAGGAAATCAAAGTTGAACATCAAGTAAAGATATTAATAATACTTACGACCGCTATAACCGTATTAATTAAGCCGCAACGTTCTAATTAAAAACTGCTTTTCATTTTCGTCTTTCTTTCTCCAAATCGCTATACATTGTGTAATCTGTTCAACTTTCTTGTGCGCTTTCCAAGGGAAACAGAATGTTAACAATCAATCGATAAATAGAGCTAATCAGAGAGCTTATAAAACAGTTTGATCCACATTTGGAAACACTTTTCGAGAAAAGAGGGTCTGTAAAAAAGAGCCTCAACTTTGTTTCTCTCGAAAGGAACTTCGTTTCTTCAATTACGAGACTTTTCAAGTGCAATTTTCTCTCTTTCTCAACGTTTGCTCAATAAAAATGTTTCAGGTAAGCGGGAGGGAGGCGCTGCTGACCGGTGGCGGCGGCGGCCATGCGCCCCGGCCCGCCAGTACAGCCGAGCCACCGCAGGCCTCCCCGTCGCCAGCATCCGCACCAGCAGCAGCTCCATCAGGAGCGCGACCGACAGCGGCAGCGGCAGCATCGGCTGCACCTGCCGCGCGCCAACGGCGGTAGCCCGCGCGCCCTCCTGGTGCTGCTGCTACTGGCCAGCAGCCCCTTGGTCCAGGCCGTGCCGCCGGGATTACCCGCGGCCCAGCAGCGGGCGTTCACCGGTCACTATCAAACGGGACTGACGGCCCGGTTGAACGCGACCGAGCCGAAGAAACAGAACTTGACTATCGGCTACCTCACTGCCATCAAAGGTGGCCTCAAGGACCGGCAGGGCCTTGCCATCTCCGGCGCTCTGTCCATGGCTCTCGACGAGGTAAGCCCACGTGAATATTTAATCGTAGGTCGCTCGACTCGGCGTAAGCGCGGTCAATTAACCCAAGGGCGGGGTAATCGCTCTGGTAGCTACTCTCTGTACACGCGGTACATCTGTCTGGGGAAGAAACGGAGGAACCCGTTAGTTTCCCCTCTCCCTCCCTCCCTACGGTCTCCCTCCGTCACTTCGCCATTCTTCTTCACTCGCGTGCGGCGAGAACGTTCCCCCTGCAATCGTGCGAAATGAAGCTCGCGACTCCACTCGTGTGTCGTTATTGTTACCGAGGAGAATAACGTTATTACGCCGATTGTGTAAAACCGGCCGGCACTTTGTGCCCGTTTAAAACACACCATTCGTACATCACCCCGACATGATCAACAGTGTCGGGGCAGGAGGGAAGTATACCGTCCTCTCGCGAAGGAGTCGTTCACTTGGCGCACGTCGCGGTGCGTATGCTGCGCGTTCGTCTGCACGAGAAGCCGACCAATCATCCCGATGCCATAAGAGATATCTTTGAACTCGACCGCCGAGTTTCGCGCGCGATTGCAGCGTTATCACGCGCTCATCGTGCAACTCGGCTACGATAATGGTGGCTCGTTGACGCTATTAGTTTACGCGGCGCGCTGAGACGTTGGCCGGCTAATAGATCGAGAGTCCAGTTAGAATTGGGCGGAGTCGCCAGGGTGAACCGAGAGACATCAAAGGCGAGTACGATGACGACGAAACGGCCACTCCCTCGAAATTTCATTTTCCATCGGCGCAATCTCGATTTGTAACCTCGTTCCTTTTTCCGAGACGTATCCTGCTTCCTACCCGATTACACGCCACTGCGAAATTATAACGTGTGTGTCGGATGGAAACTACTTATCTCGTCGATGCGGAACGTAACTCTTTCCATTAAGCGTGTTTCAAGGCGGATTACAACGTCATACGCCGATCATGCGAATAGTAATAGCATCTCACGCTCTACCGCTCTATCTACCATTAACCGCCGACGCTCTAACCGGGGAAGGCCGCCGCCGCTGCCGCCACGTGGAAACGCGATTGATGAGACATGCCTGAAATAATGGGTTCCGACTAGTCGTTTTATCTCTCTTCTTTTCTTTTGACGAGGAAAGCCAAGCCTCAGATGGTATCTCTTTGCTTCAACAAAACGCCGCAAAATTAGGAGAAAATCAGATCGAGCTGGTCTCCGCGTCGCGCTAATTGGACGAGATCTTTGCTTGTAGACCGTGACGTATCGTTACGATTGCAGATTGACAAATTTATCGGCTGATCAGGAGAGTGATAAGAGGAGGCGCTAATCGATACAGTATTGACGATTATTTCGCACAACTCGGAAATATTTCTTCTTCCCGAAAAAGAATTCTGCACGTAAATCGCCGTGGCTGCACGCGCGCAATGATATCGTTTAATCTTTATATTGCTCGACGTGATCTGATAAGCATGCAATAATACGAAATTGGTATCTCCAAAGCCGCGCGCGCGATAAGAGGATGTGCGCGGCAGACAAGGTCGCGTCGGTCCCTAGAATGCATCGTAAGGTTAATTGCCGCCTATAAGAAGAGTAGCCTCCGCGTTCCCACCGCGAACGAATCTTCTATTTCCCGTGCCGGAGACAGAGATAGAGGAGGCGGAATAGGTGGGACGGAGGGCGAGATAGGCCCGGTTGATGATGATCCGACTCTCAGGATCCGGCGGAGCATCTTCGATTACCCAACCAACGACACAACGGTCACGAAGAACCCGGCGTTACTCTTCTTTTTTCTCTCTCTCTCTCTCTCTCTCTCTCTCTCTCTCCCCCCGATCCTGGGCCGTACGGCCGCTCGCCGGGGGCCCCGCTTCAGAAGCCTCGATAATTCATTCGGAGGATCTCCCTCTGCCCTCCCACCTCCTCTCCTCATTCCCCCCGCGCATCCTGGGGACCGTGAGACCGTTTTCGCCCGGGCGTGCTGTACGCCGGATAAAGAGGAAGTAAAAAGAGAAAGGTACGCGCGGCTCCCGCTCGCCGCCGCCGTTGCTGCCGCCGCCGCCGCCGCCGCCGCCACCGCGAGGGCAGAAATGACCCGGCGTCTCTCCGATGAAACGAGCGCCGGGTTCTGGGCCGGAGAGAGACGCCGAGGGTTTAAAAATACAAGACCGGCGTTATTTGCTGGTCCGCCCACGCATGCCGACGAAACCGCGCGCTCTCTCGCGAACCGTGAGAAGAATTCGCTCGCGTTCGGGAACGTATACCCATCTCCTCTTCCTCCTCTTACTTCTACATCCCTCCCACCCTCCGGTGCGGGCATCCCTTCCTTGTCCTCCACCTCCCGTAGTTCTTTTTCTTTCCAAACCTGCCCGGCACTCTTGTAACCTGCGACCACGTGTGAGGGATCGAGAGAGGACTCGGGAGTGGGTAAGGGAAAAAGAGGAACAGGAGGTGAAGACGAAGAAGGAGAAGAAGGAGGAGGAGGACGGAGAAGCCGTGCGAATCGTCGAAATGAACGCCGATCCTATCGCGATGCGATATCCGGGTGTACGTGAAAATAAAGCGGCATTACGTCGGAGATTAATTGGCGCGTCGATGGTAATAGCGGAGTGTAAAGTCGAAAGCGCCGAGCGATCATTGATCGGGTTCGACCGCGGAGGCTGGCAATCAGCTCCGGATAGAGATCCCCCTCGATTTCTTATCGCCTCAAGTGGTGGGTGCTCGTTTGGTCTTTCGCTTCTCGCGCCTTGAAAACTCGTATATGCGGCGACTCGCGGCGCGAAATAACAAGTGAATAATTGAGACGTGTGGTCTAGCGCGCCGACGCGAAAGACGCAGTTCAAGCGACGAAAGGTCGAAAGTACAAAGTTACGTAAAACGCCGCGTGTATTCGAAAAAAAAAGAGCACGGTCGACCTAAACGCGAGAGATATATCTGTTCCGTGGAGAAAGAGAAACCGCGACGATAAAAAAAAGAGGAGAAGAAAAAAGAAGGAGTAAACGAAGGCTAAACGGCGACGCGATGCGACGATGGTCCCGCGCTCGACGATCGATGAAATTTCTCTTTCAGCAGTTCGATGCACCGCGCTCTGCAGTTGCAACGATAAACGCGTAATGACCCTCCTCGCCGATGCGTGCCCGCGCATTCAGCGAGTCGAAAGGTGCAGGAAACGAGCCGAGCTCCGCGGCCGTTTATTTATATCCTCCGATATGCCACGCAAGAGTAAGCATCGCGATCGCAATGTCGGCCTCTGTTCGCAGCTATAATAAAGCTTGATTCACAAGCGTAACTCTCGCGCGGCCGCGCCGCGCTACGATGCGCGCGATGCGATACGGGCGACCCGTTTAACAAGTAACCTCGTCTTCGTCGCGTATTCCTGCAGTACGTCATCGGGCTTATTTTTAGCGATTCAAGAATTATCGGTTATCAACCCGTTAATGTGATAGATAAGTCATTGCGCCATAAAACCGCCGATATTTCAAGTCCGATTAGAAGTCTCTCGCGACAGAACGACTGTATGCGCTCGGCCTGCAGCGCGAATATCGCATGAGAATTTGGGCGAATCATTTCGTCGCTCTGTCTCTCGCAAGGAGGAGACAGTTTGATTTGTTTCTTACACCGTGCCATTTTGTTTCTAACGAAACACTTTACATTGAAAAGCAAAAAATGTTAATTTAGTGGGTACTAATGACTTGTATTTTTGCTGAGAAAAAAATACTTGAAAATTTATCTGTAAGTCACATTTAATCACACACACACAGAAACAGAATTTATTTCACAAAAACATATCTCGCCATAAATTTTCGCGTGTTTTTTTTCTCAGTGTACTTGTATTGATATAAAATATTTTTCAAATAAGATGTACACACATTTTCTTAAAAACTAAACTTCTCTCGCAAGCAATTGTGTCCATTCCACTGAAAAAATTTAGATTCAAGTAAAATGTCATTAGCACCCACCGAATAAGTGATTTTTTGAACATCTCTGCTGCCTCAGCGTATAGACTACGATTCATTTGTACTCGTGAGTCGCGGCTAGGCCTGGCACTTATCGACGTCGGACAGACGTCGTTCCCGCTCGTGTGAAACGCGCTTAACACTCGGTCGTACGCAGTTCGCGCTCGCCGCGGCCGTAAGTGCAGGTGCAGGTGAAGCAGTACCACCTTGCTCGCTCGCCCGTTCGCCTCGCGGGCACGCGAAAAAAAATACAGTGGAACTCGCGCGTGTACGCACTCCCACGACGTAACGCGGCTAGTTCCGCTCGGCTCGGTATATTTGTAAATAGAACGAGCGTTAATTGGCGACTTCGCATAACGCGCGCGACACGCGTGCGCCAGTGTAATGGGCGCGGCGCACTTGGCGCTCTTTAGGAGCGCGCAGATCGCATTCATAATATTCACTCGCGAGCAATGGTACACGCTGTGAATTGCCAACGCGAGCACGGGCCCTCTCTTTCTCCCGCTCTTTCTCTTCCACCCTGTCTCTCCCTCTCGCCCTCGCTCGCTCGCTCGCTCGCTCTCTGCCAATCTCTTCTCTCTCTCTCTCTCTCTCTCTCTCTCTCTCTCTCTCTCTCTCTCT